TCTATCTAAGACACGTTGGCAAAAATGTGAAAACCTCAGGAATATTTATTGCACCAGTATTTGTGATAGCAGAAGTCTTAAAACTCAATGGACTTAATGGACTCAAATATTCAGCTTTATATCTAAAACTGTTTATAATTTTTAAAATGTAAGGAAAAGAAAATTTTAAAAATTTATGGAGAAAACATTTTTTAAATGATTGTTTCTAAATCAAGGAAAAAGAGAAAGGGGTGGTGGTTAGAAAGTAGTTAAACTTCTGTAGAATGCACATGATTTTTTACACTTCACTTTAAGAATTTAAATTGTTGATAAAACATATTTTAATGTTTTAGAACTGAACTGAAAGAATTTATACAGAAAGTCATTTTTAAGTCTGTAGATTTGAACTCAATTTTTGTAACAGAACATTAAATTCTATTCTGCAGTCAATCATACCTAACAGATAATCAGGCATGTGTTAAAGCAAACTACATGTGGACTGTACCATCACTGTGAGAGGTACTCCATTGTACAGCAGAGAAAGCTGAGGCTGGTGGAGAATCTCTCAGTTGGAAATCAGGTTACCGGATAAAATCTTTAAAATACCTTAGAAATAAAAGCTTCAATAGTTAATAACTGTATGAGAGAACAAAATCATTGCTTGTGTCTGTTCTCTTAATGGCCATGATCTCAAGATTCAAGATTTGAAATTCCTTCATATTTTAAGAAAGATATTTAGGCTTATGAATCACTTAAACTAGATGCTTGGATGAATTGAGAGTCCATTGAGTTGAACTCACAGACACCATCTTCAGTCTCTTAAAAGAATCAGACTTTTTATGATTAATTCTATGATCATAAATATTACATAATAATTTCAATAACTCTTCTTGCTAATCTCCAAGCCACATATAACAAAATCTAAAAAGCCAAAAGGCAAAGGACAAATTCATATACAAGCAGTTCTGCAAAACCCCTTTGGAGTGGATTCATATATATATATACATATATATAATATATATACATATATATATATACACATATCATATATATACATATATACATATATACACATACATATATATATATATATATATATATGATTCCCTGCTGGCTTAGACAGTAAAGAATCTGCCTGCAATGCAGGAGACCTGAGTTGATCCCTGGGTCAGGAAGATCCCGTGGAGAAGGGAATGGTTACCCACTACAGTATTCTTGCCTGGAGAATTCCATGCACAGAGGAGCCTGACAGACTACAGTCCATGGGGCCGCAAAGAGTCGGACACAACTGAGAAACGTGTGTGTGTGTGTGTGTGTGTGTGTGTGTGTATAATTTACCAGAGGAGGAAATCCAGTTTCAGGAAGCATTAGTAACTTTACTAAGTTTCTAAGTAAGTAACAAAATCACTTCCTTAACTAAGGAGGTAAATAGCAGACCCTAGATTTTGAGCTGTTTTCTGATTTATCCCAGATGTCTCTATCTCAGAGGTCTCTCTCAGGTTATCAAGTTAAGGTAGCTGTGAAATTTTTATTTGTTTTATTTTTGCCATGCAAGTAAGGATATCTGTTCCATTTCTCTGGATATTTATGCATCAATACAGAGATCAAGAATAATATTGTAATAAAATGCATTTAGAATCTCATTAGTTTTGATACTAAATAACAAAAAATCTGTAAACAAATACATAAAATGTTCTTCTAATGTAACCTTGAATGTCCTTTTTCACTTGAACTTCAAAACACTGTAATAGTTTCATGTGTAGTATTTATATCTGTATTTCTTATTAATAGTTATTAATCATGTGTTTCATTAGCAACCATGCTCCAAAAAAATCACGATCAAGATATTAAAACAAGTGTGGGATGATGACAATTGTATTAACAACTAAAGTGAAAGTCGCTCAGTCATTTCCGACTCTCTGTGATCCCATGGATTATATAGCCCATGAAATTCTCCAGGCCAGAATACTGGAGGGGGTAGCCTTTCCCCTCTCCACGGCATCTTCCCAACCCAGGGGTCAAATCCAGGTCTCCTTCAGTACAGATGGATTCTTTACCAGCTGAGCCACAAGAGAGGCCTGAGCATACTGGAGTAGGTAGCCTATCCCTTCTCCAGGGGGTCTTCCAGACTCAGAATTTGAACCAGGATCTCCTGCATTGCAGGTGGATTCTTTACCAGCTGAACTGTCAGGGAAGCCAATGAATAACTAAAACTAATATATATTTGAAATTCAAGAAGAAGGGAACATTTAGTATTTGTCTATGATATAGCTTAGCTAATACTGAATGTGTTGTTTGAAGTAAATATTTTTATGAAAAAATGTATGATATGGGTTTTATAGTAGTGGTAAATCTTGACTGATATGATAAATTTTTCTTTCTTTAAATAGAGAATGTAGGCTAAGAAGAAATATCAATAAAAAGATAAACATTCCTCATATACAAATAACATATGTGCATATACATACACATATATATATGTATGTATGTCTTTTGCACACAGAAAAAGCCAAAGAGAGACATTCTACTATGCAGTGATTGAGCATGTCTTGAGGAACCTATATAAAGCTGGCAGAGTAAATAGGTATACAAAATAGGAAGCATGCATTAAAAAAATGATAGAATCATCACTTTAAAGGATCTTCTTGGATTTGAATTATGAACCAGCTCTAATTAAATGTAATTTTAAAATAAAAGAACCTACAGTGTTGCACTTTGATCCTTCTAAAACTGTTATTAGTTTATACAACAGGAAAAATAATGACTCACCAAGGATAAGAGGTAAGCTTCTGTGGTCAAAAATACGTGTACCTATCTTTTTAAATTCCAGCACTTGGTTCAAAGTAGATCATCAAATATTTGTTGAACTAACTTGGATCATGTTTAAGAAATTTTGCCAATACTAGACCTAGAAGGAGACAAAAGAGTAATGCAACTTCAAAAATAAAAAGTGAATGGAACTTTCAAAACCTGTGATGGTAGAAAAAGGAAGTTTGTAATATTGTTCAGTGTTGATTGGTCAGGCTATCCTTAGAACACTGTTTTAAGAGCAGATCTACAAACTATAATGTAACTAGAAAAGAGGCCAATTCCTGAAAGAATTCAAAGCTACATCTTTTAAGACCCAGTCTAAGGAAGGTAATGTTTAATTGGCAGAAGAGACTACTCAGTTATTTTCAAATATATGAAGTATAATCACAATGACTTATTTATTAAATCACTCAATTGCATTATGTATTTCATTTAATCCTGGGAAAAGTCATATGAGATATTGTCCATTTTTTTCCACTGATGAGAATACTGTCATTCAGTCAGGTAAAGAAACATATCCAAATTCCTACAGCTAAAAAGTTTAAGTTACAAATCTAAGGTTCACAGAAGGATCTGACTTTAAGGCAAGGACTTATTATACTGTGCTTATTTGTCTTTAACATGAGTAAGTTTAGACTGTTTCTGTGTGTCCTCAAGAGACTGAATAATGGCAGACAGATTTCGGCTGAATATGGGTGAATTAATATATTAGTTCATAGAAGAATATGTGGTGAAACCTTTTTATTATTCTGTAGGAGATCTGTATAACATTTTATTGCTGAAATTATATCCTTCAACATAAAAAAAGATAAAAATAATACTGAACATTGGCAAAATCACCTATGATTAGTGGAGTTTACCAGTGCTATGTTTTCAAGACAAGTGATAAAAATAATATCGGAATTAAATGTTCTTTCCAAGCTCCCTACCTCCCCCGACCCCTGTTCACCAAGGATATAGCTTTCTACAACCAACTGGGGATCTTTAATGATAGTGCTAGTAATTAAAAGATACATATGCAGACAAATATACCTATGAATAGAAATGAGAATTACTTCAGAATTTGTGTTAACATTACTTAAAAACAAAGACAAAACAAAATTTATGAATAAAGTAGAAACATTTATGGATTTAAAAGTGAATTATCAAATTTTAAAGCATATCAATAATCCTCTATGAACCATTCCAGTTCCAGATGTCTATGTAGTTTTTCCTGGAATGTCTACACTAGAATACACTGAAATAATACAAATACTTGGTCTTCACAATCTTCTACTGAGAAGCACATAGAGGAAGGCTGGAGATAAAACCAATAATTAAAAACTCCAAACCTATGAGATCTTTCTTTGACTTTTCTGGACACCACAACTTCCTGTGCCTCTTTGTCAGCAAGCTAGAAATTAGATGTAAATAAAGCTTCTACTACAGGAGAAATAAGGGAATATGAAATAAAGGGAATACATATCCTCTCTAAAAGTTTGTTTCTCATCTCTTTTTCAGAGAAGGAATCACTCTTGTTCCAGGCAGGGTTGAAGGGTTGGAAATTCTCTTTTAGTAATGAGACACGGTGACTTTTTCTGCAGAAGTCTGAGGCAAGGAGGGCTACAGAAGAAGATTCTATATACCCTGCCCCATATGATTGCTTAGGCAGCAGGGATAGAATAGCGCTTGGGTCTGGGATGTCAGGGTGGCGTCAGACCAGTGTCTTTTCTGTCATGGCACTGAGAAAATGTGAGGTCAGCCCCCTTCCTTACGCTCTGCATCCGCCAAAAACTCTCCGTTTGTCTCACTCACAACCCCTTCCCTCCAACTCCCTTCCTGGTCCTGCCTGTCCTTAGAGGTGTTTGCACAGAAGAGTGCAGAGTGGGGAAACCGAGTCGTTGGATCGCTTTGCGCAAAATCCACTTCTTTCTCCTCCCTCGGCTCCAGCCTCCGGATCCCGCACAGCCCTCCCCTCCTTCCCCCCGGCGGTGTGGGGCTGGAGCCCTGTCTGTGTACCTCTAAGGTGGGAGGGGGCTGCAAGCAGAGGATAATGTCAGATGCTTGGCTCTCGCCTGCCTGACGCTCCTCTCTGGCTCCGCCGGGGTTGGTCGCTGTAAGAAATAACAGGAGCTGTGGCAGCGGCGAGACGAAGCGGCTCGCGCGTGGAACCCGAAAAGTCAGGGTGCTCGCGGTTCCTCCCAACGTGGTCCCGGCCGGCGGTCAGCACCATGGACAGCGGCGCCGTCCCCACGAACGCCAGCAACTGCACTGATTCCCTCACACACCCTTCAAGTTGCTCCCCAGCACCTAGTCCCAGCTCCTGGGTCAACTTCTCCCACTTAGAAGGCAACCTGTCCGACCCATGCGGTCCGAACCGCACCGAGCTGGGCGGGAGCGACGTCCTGTGCCCTTCGGCCGGCAGCCCTTCCATGATCACGGCCATCATCATCATGGCCCTCTACTCCATTGTGTGCGTGGTGGGGCTCTTCGGAAACTTCCTGGTCATGTATGTGATTGTCAGGTAAGGAAGGCCAGAGGGCTCCGGATTTCCGTGGCTAATCCGGGCATAAAGGGGGTGGGGGGGGGGGGGGGCGGGGAGGATGAGAAAAAAGGAGGTAAAACAGGGGAGAATGTAGAGGTGAAAGTAGATAGAGTGGTTGCTACTTGAGTACAAAAGCTTACTTTTCCATTCTTCCCTCCGTTAATAAAGAATCCAAAATTTCAGAAACAGAAGTTGTTTTGGTAAAAGCTCTAAAGCTCTGGCAAAACAAAAACAAACAAACAAAAAAACCCTCAATCTTAACAGCTTGCTTATGCTGAGCCAAAAGAGCTCTGGGCTCTTAAGCACAGTGTCCCATAGTCCCTTCCAAAGGCGCTGTGGAAACAATAATTAGTGGAAAATAGAAGAGAAATTCTAGTTATTTCATCCTTAATTGGGGGGAGGAGGGGCAGATTTCCTTCTCTGTTCTTTTCAGAGATGAACTTTGGCGATTTTCCTGCTTCTGCTGATTCCAGTGCATTTGCTGCACCATTGCTGCACCCTCCTCTTCCTCACTCATAGCGGAAGTTTTTCTGGTGTCTTTCCACAGTAAATGGTGCTGTTTTGCTGTAAGGTGACGGCTGTGTTGCCTAGACCAGTTTGCAGTTGGCAGCTACAGATTTGCTAGTGGAGTCACAGACTGAATCAGGAACAGGTCAGGTGCTTTGGAACTGCAGGACATGACTGTTTTTCAATGCCCCCCAAAGTTGAAACAAGTTAGAAGTGACCAAAAACAGCATAATTCTGGATGATAAACTATTACATAGGAAGTTGTCATGGTTGCTCTAGTAAAAGTAAAAAGTGTCTTCATCTAATGAGATTATTTCAGAAGAGTCTGTGGCCCAGTTTCTATTTGTCCAGATGTTCCAGATTCATTTGGCAAAAAGTATACAAGTTCAATATTAACTGAGATTGATGTAGATTGTGTTAGTGTTGATGTGCCTATTCAAATCCTACATGTTAATATGGAATACTATATTTTAACTTTTGAGAAGTAGATAATTATTTTAACACTTTAAAATGGCTCCTGATTTAGGATGTTCTTCCTACTAGAGGTTCTATGGTACTTCCATGTTTAGCTGCAATATTGGCTTCATCTATTCAGCAAGTACTGCAGGTTTCAGTGGAGCTCTTAAATCACTTAACAATCATTTTTTCCATTATGCTTTCATTAAGATGCTACAAGTTATTTGTAATCAATTCTTTCTACTTTTAGGTCTGATTTTTTAATTTTCATAAATTTTTTAAATTAATGATTGTTAAAGATTAAAACTAATTTTCTTGATCTTTTGATGAGGAATCATATAAGTAGTTTCTCTGAGTAAAGAGCACCATCTATTGCAAAGAAAGATAACAACAAAAGGAAAAATGCAGGAAGAGAATCAGTGGAAGAATTTATCTTTAAAACATTTACTTTATGTAGTTCAATACAAAGCTTCCTATAAGATATTAAAACTATCTTATTTTGCATTTATGATAATAAAAATAGCAACTACATCCCTGCCCCATGAAGGGAAAATTCCTCATTTCTCCTAAGAAAATTCATGGAATCATAAGCTTATAGGGCCATAAGGGAACCTAGAGGTTTTCTAGGCTAGGTGAGTAAAATGTGGCACAGAAAATATAAATGATTTCTCAAAGGACAGATAAGTTCATTAGTTCAATACCATGGAATTGCTCTTAGCCAATGTAATTTTCTGTTTATTAGAGTGGCTCATGATTTGAGTTAATTCAACTACAAGATTGACAGAGTAATGTGGAAATAATAAATTAATCCAAATTTATGTCTGTAATCCTGGAGAATGAAGAATGAAGAGAAATCATAAAACCATCTTGAAATGCTGTCGTCTAAAACATAATCATTTATGCTTTTATTGCTTCTCTTGGTATTTTTCATCCTCATTTTTCTCCTCTCTGGCTTATGCTTTTCTATAAAGCAGAGAGCCAATAGAGCAACAACTGGCTGTGGAATAAACAGATTAGCTTTATTCTAGTGCCGAAGATATTACTAGTTGGGTGATTTTGTTTTAAAGGTATTACCTCTGAACTTTTGATAACTTGGAAAAGGATGGTGACCTTGTCTCTTGCTGAGAACATGATATTATGCTTTATTTTTCTGTGCTTAAAGTTCCAACCAGAATACTGTACTATTTGAAAAGGCACCTCAAACACCCACCTGTGAAAGTCAGGTGTTTAATTCCAAGGTCAGGTAATCGTCTGGGAATACAACTGTGAAACAGAAAAATAGTTCAGTAACCAATGAAGTAATGAGAAAAGCTTTTAGGGAGTGAAGGAACTATATCTATTTAGCTGAGAATATTTAACTAGACTATCTCCATGCTATGGTTATTTCACTATGAAGTGATCAATTCACAGATATTATTGCCTCTGTTAAAAAGATTAATATAATGCTGTATCTATTAAAGTACTGAGATAAAATACTTCTTGCTATTATTCAAAATTCAACAAATACTTTTGAATTATTAAGTAGCTAGGGTTTTCTAACCAAATAAACATAACATTTATTAGAATGTCTTATTACATTGACTAAACCTTGAGGCACCAAAGACAATGGCAGCAAAATAACAACAAAGATACTATAGATGCCTTGATTAGTTATTTTGTCTCCTGTGTCTTCACTCTATCATCATCATACCTTCATCAACAACATTATTAAATAATATAACTTAAGTATCATTCTTACAGTGTTGTTCTAAGAAACATAAGGGAGAAAAAGAGATAATGTCATATATCTAAAGTTTTAAAATCCAGATGTTAGATGATAGAATGTTATAACTATTCATTATCTAAAAGGCTTTTTGGTCTTAAAGAAAAAAATTACTTGTGGGATAACTATATTATAAAAATCACAACAAATATTCTGGAAAAGTTTGGTGATAAAATATTACAAAATATGGCAATCCTTATTTTTTTGGAAGTAGAAAAGCATAGTTTTATTGTTTTGCCAGGCAAAGGGGGACAGAGTGGGCTTCTGCCCCAGAAACTGTGCAGTCCCACATAGGAGGATTTGATGAGTTTTATAGCAATAGGTCAAAGGTCAGATTGCTAATAAGTTTAGTGTGTGTAAGGACCTATACTCCTTGAATCTGGTCTCAGGTGGTCTCCTGGTGTGCATTTCTGGTTCCTTAAATCTGGGCTCAGGTGGTTTTCTCTGGCGTGAAGAATGCTGACATCTTCCACTTGTTGGGGTTTTTTTAATTTCCTTTTTTTTAATTTAAACTTTTTATTTTCTATTGGGATATAGCTGATTAATAATATTGTGATAGGTGAACAGTGAAGGGATTCAGCCATACATATACATGTATCCTTTCTTCCCCAAATTCCTCTCCCATCCAGACTGAATGTGGCCATTGTTTAAACTGGGATAGTAGTATATTATTGTCAAGAATGTTTTAAAGAAAAAAAATCAATCAAAATAATGCACAGCTCTGCATAGATCACAAGGCACATTGGAAGGTCTGGTCCACACTGACTATTTCAAGCCATATGCTAGCTTTTCCTCCTTTTCTGTTTTATTTTTCTTCTTTCCTATCTTTGCTATTATTTGTTCAGTAGCTAAGTCATGTCTAATTCTTTGCGACCCATGGACTGCAGCACACCAGGCTTTCCTGTCCTTCACTATCTCCTGGAGTTTATTCAAAGTCATGTTCATTGAATTGGTGATGCCATCCAAGCATCCTCTGTCACCCTCTTCCTCTCCTGCCCTCAATCTTTCCCAGCATCAGGGTCGTTTCCAATGAGTTGGCTCTCCACATCGGGTGGCCAAAGTATTGGAGCTTCAGCATCGATCATTCCAATGAATATTCAGGGTTGATTTCCTTTAGGATTGACTGCTTTGATCTCCTTGGGGTCCAAGGGACTCTCGAGAGTCTTCTCCAGTGCCACAGTTTGAAAGCATCAGTTCTTCAGTGCTCAGCCTTCCTCCCACCTCGGTTCCCTGAAATCTCTTTCCAAAATGACTTACCTTCACCCAAGCTCTTATCTCAAGCACTGCAAAGCTCATCATTTCTGTTATTTTATAACTGTCTGCAATGTAAATTCTGATTAATAAATAGAGCTTTACAGACTCATTGAGTGTAGGTTTACTACACTAATTGCTTTACTACTCTAATTGTTCTTGACAATTAGAAATTCTTAAGAAAAATTCTACACAACCCCAGTCAGAACTACCACGACAGTTTATAAACCAAGCTTTTCCTTTCAATTTTTTTCTGCCTCAGGATTCAGGAAAGGTTTTAGTACATTTTGTTTAATGGATATGAAGTAGGCAACAGCCATGGATAGTATTCGGCATATTTGAGGTCAGAGTGTTGGTAGCAGTAGGATCTCTGATATGTAAAGAAAGTGAGGGTTTCTGAAGACACAAACTACTGTCTCTTTTTCCACTGATCCCTTGTTGCGTAATAACTGTAAGAATACTCATAACAGGTAAGCTCAAGCAAATGTCAGGGCCCTTGAAAGTGAAGTGAAACAACAGACACAAGAAGCATCATATACAAGAAACATCCTTTAATGATCTTGTCATAGCAACTCCTCTCTTTACCCATCCGTTCTTGCTTCAGGCCACCTTATTTCCTTCCCCACCAGTACCTCAGTCTAAGAGTCCTTGAGTCAAGAAATAAATCCAGAATGAAAGAGCAGCGTGGAAGAGAAGTGCCAATAATGGTTCAGCCTCAGACTCTCAGTGCATAATATTCCTCTTCTGCCAGATGGGTTACCTGGACTAACATCTAGTCTACTTGGTAGCTAGTAGTGCTAACATTTTCTATGGTGACTTCACGGGCTGTTTCGCCACAGTTTTTCCACCTCTACTATCTGGAGGAAAAAAGCTAGTTATCTACAACATTAAATAATTTCGCATTCCATCTCACTTCCTTGGATTCTAAATGAGCTCAAATGGATTCTGTCAGAGAGAGAAAATGCTGAGTTACCAGATGTTGTAGTGGCCGATTAAGAATGAA